CCGACTGGTGGCCACACTGAGAACTGCAGCCTCCTGAGAAGAGAGAGAACTGGCCAGGACTGGGGACACAGTAGTAGACAAACCAGGTGCAATCTGTTCTCTTCCATCAGGCATCCTCCCTTGGAAGGCTTGCCCGGGACAGCCTCTGAGTGGAAACGGTGGCCGGGGATGGAGCTGGACATCTCAGGGAGCAATTCTTAATGCTGTTGAAAATTACGAGCACCTGGGAAGAGTGTAAAACTAATCCAGTAAATTGATGCGACACCCTTGGGGGAGAAGACATCAAGCTCTCTGCTTGGGTGCTTGGGCATGTGTCATCTGGGCTTATGTGATTGGCTGAGCCAGCATCTGGGTTTATGTGATTGGCTGAGCCTGGGTAGTGCCTGGGTAGTTTCAACCATTCTCATGTTCAAATGGGTCAGATGTCTGCATGCGAATGCAAGGGAGGCCGGGAAGGTGAGATTCAGGCTTGTAGGGTGGAAAGTTGTCCAAACAGGGCCTCGTGTTGGCCCGGCACAGTGACTCACACCTACTGTAACCCCAACACTCTGTCTGGGATTTGGCCTGGTGTGCCAACCAGGCCTGGCTGAATTTTAAAATTAGTGCTTGGCCACCGCTGATTACCACCATTCTCCCGGACCTTCTGGATACAGAAATAAATCCATCATTTCCCCAATTTAAATGAACAAGGCGATGATACTAATTAAAGTCTAGCAGCTCACATTTAAAAGTTGGGTAGAGAGTCCAACGTTTTCAGCCCTGGGTGCCTTCAAGATCACCAGCGTCCTTGCTCATTCCGCGCAGACAGACACGGGTCAGCTGAGAGATGGTCACTGCGGCAGGTGACCTTACCTTTAACTCGGGCCTGACCAGGTCATCCTCTGGAAGTCTTGCTTTGTCACAGGTTACCTGGTCTCTGGCGGCTGGGGCCGGCTGCGGGGTCCTACTGCCCCCTGGTGGTCACGGATGAGCACAGCGTTGCTGGAGCTGAGTTTGCAGGGCTTTTAACTTTTCCCTTCACCAGAGTGAAGGACTCCTGCAGGAACGTGATGCACCTGAGAAACACGCGGAGCGAAGAAAGCCACGCGCCAAAGGGCACCTGTGTGAGCGCTTGCTGATAAAGTTCTGGATCAGACCCAGTGGAACGCGCTTGATGCGTCATTATAACAGAAAATAGTTATCAAGGTAATTTAATTTCAGAGATAAGGGGCAGGAGCCTGTATTTTTTTTTTTTTTTTCTTGAGGTACTGGGAATCGAACTCAGGACCTTGCACTTGCAAGGCAGGCACTTATTCCGCAGAGCTATATCCCTAGCCCCGCAGGGGTCTGTTTCATCTAAAACTTCTTTCTGTGCGATGTCTCAAATTCGATTGTCATTTCTTGCCTTTCTTAAAGGCCAGATCCTTTTCTAAGTAATATGCACTCTCAGTCTGACTCTAGACAGAATTTGCCTTGATCGTTTTGGTGGCAGCAGGCAGCGATGGTCAGACAGACCTGATCATAAATGTCCATGTGCTGAGCAGAGGGGGTGGGGTGGGTGGATGCTGGAGTCGTCACACGAGACCCCCAGGCAACTCTGGTCCTATCTCTGCTTCACTCCAGCCAGAAGCCGGCCCCTTCAATAGCATGCTTCACTCATCCTCACAGATGTTTGTCTCAAAGGTCACTGTGAGATGGCCCAGATGACAGGCTCCACCAATCAGATACAATCAGATGGTCCTTAGGCTCAGAAGCGCTCAACCATGCCAGGCTCTCTGCAGAGAGCTGATGTCCTCTCGCTGGAGGGAGTCGCATCAATTTACTGGATTATTTTTACATTCTTCCCAGGTACTTGTAATTTTCACACAGCTTTAAGAATTGCTCCCTGACCTTTCGGCCGGAACCGCCATCTTCCAGTAATTTGCCAAAATGACTAACACAAAGGGCAAGAGGAGGGGAACCTGGTATATGTTTTCCAGGCCTTTTAGAAAACATGGGGTTGTTCTTTTGGCTACATACATGTGAATCTACAAAAAGGGTGATATTGTAGACATCAAGGGAAT